ATCATTTTCTCACTGGCTGTCTCCTTAGATCATAACCCACCACCATTTTATTTATTTATTTTTAAATATATTTTTATTGATTTCAAAGAGTAAGGGAGAGGGAGAGAGAGATAGAAACATCAATGATGAGAGAGAATCATTGATTGGCTGCCTCCTACATGCCCCCCACTGGGGATCGAGCCCGCAACCTGGGCATGTGCCCTTGGCCAGAATCGAACCCAGGACACTGCAGTCCACAGGCCTATGCTCTATGCACTGAGTCAAACGGGCTAGGGGCTCATTGTTGTTTTTATTTGCATCTCTCTGATGATTGGTGACACTGAGCATTTTTTCAATGTCATTGGCCGCCTGTGTCCTCTTTGGAGAAGTGTCTATTCAGGTCCTTTGCCCATTTTTTTTTACTGGATTGTTTGTCTTCCTGGGGTTGAGTTGTATATACAGCAAACTTTGAACTGTATTAAAAATAAGATGGATTGAGCAGTAAATATATAGTATAATAAAGCATTTATAAAAAATATTGATTGCAGCCCTAACCGGTTTGGCTCAGTGGATAGAGCGTCGGCCTGTGGACTTAAGGGTCCCAGGTTCGATTCCGGCCAAGGGCATGTACCTTGGCTGCGGGCACATACCCAGTAGGGAGTGTGCAGGAGACAGCTGATCGATGTTTCTCTCTCATCGATGTTTCTAACTCTCTATCCCTCTCCCTTCCTCTCTGTAAAAAATCAATAAAATATATTTTTAAAATATTGATTGCAGAATCTAAGGATGGGTTTTTCATCTTAAAACTCAAATTTTTTTAAAATATATTTTTATTGATTTCATAGAGGAAGGGAGAGGGAGAGAGAGGTAGAAACATCAATGATGATTGCGAATCATTGATTGGCTGCCTCCTGCATTCCCCCCACTAAGGATCGAGCCCACAACCTGGGCATGTGCCCTTGACCGGAATCGAACCCGGGACCCTTCAGTCTGCAGGCCGACGCTCTATCCACTGAGCCTAGGGCTAAAACTCAACTTAAAAAAATTTTTTTTATTGATTTTTAGAGAGAGAGAAAGGGAGGGGAATGGAGAGATAGAAATATCATGAGAGAGAAACATCATCAATTGGCTGCCTCCTGCATGTCCCCTACTGGGGATCGAGCTCACAACCCAGGCATGTGCCCTGACCAGAAATCAAACTGGTGACCTCGTGGTTCACCGGTCGACGCTCAACCCCTGAGCACACTGGCCGGGTTTAAAGCTCCCCTTTTCTGTTTGCTGGGAGGCTGTCATACATGGAACGCTGGAGTCAGGTCCTGGCTGCCTCCCTGGGCTCACAGTCCGGCAGGGAGAGGAGGGGAGGAGGAGGAATAGAAGTTCATGTGCCCACATGGTGAGGTTGGAGGTGGAACTTTCTAGAAAATCAATCCCCCCCAACTTTCGCCGAGGAGCGAGGTGGTTGGTGGGGTGGGCGGTCTGCTTGGAGAGGCAGAGGAGGCTTTTGCTGGGAAGCCGGAGGCGGGGCTGCCCTCTGCCTTTCTTCCAGTGGGTGTCCCAGCATCGCCGAGCGACCACGTGACAACACTTTCTGGGACTGACTCAGTAGCGGGGTTTCCTGGACAAACTGGTCCCACCCGCCACCCCTTTCCTAGGAAATGGCCTTGAGACCGAGCAGCCTGTCCTTTCCAACCTCCCACCTCTCCTTCCAATTCCAGGAAAACCCCTGGGATCCCAAGGCGGAGGGGTCTGGGGAAGCCCCCAGGGTGGGACAGGACTGGCTTTCTTCCACCCTGGGCGGCCCCTCCCCCACCTTCTTCAGGGCCTCCTCACCACACCCCTCCCCCCCCCGGCCGCTCCTGTGTCCCCAGAGTCCAGCCGTGGGCAAACTACGGCCCGTTTGAAATGAATAAAATTAAAAAAAAAAGACCGTACCCTTTTATGTAATGATGTTTACTTTGAATTTATATTAGTTCACACAAACACTCCATCCATGCTTTTGTTCCGGCCCTCCGGTCCAGTTTAAGAACCCATTGTGGCCCTCGAGTCAAAAAGTTTGCCCACCCCTGCCCCAGACCCACGTACAGACGGCTCAAAGGGATGATGTGGCAGATGCTGACAATGCCCAGAGCCCAAAATTGGTGCTTGCCACTTGGTCTCCGGGACGTGGCCTTGCCTCTCTGAGACCCTGTTTGTGCATCTCTCAAGGGGGAATAACAATAGCAACAGCGCCCACCGCCTGGGCCTTGCAGCCGCTGAGTAACGGCCCCTGAGAGATGCCCATCCTGACCCTGACCCTGTGGATATGTGGCTTCATGTGGCAAAAAGGACTCTGCCGATGGGGTTAAGGTAAGGATCTGGAGAGGGGAGATGATGCTGGATTCCGGGGGTAAGGGGGCAATGTTGTCACAAGGGTTCTTATAAGAGGGACTGTCTTCGTCCCTCATGAGAACTGGGACTTTGCCTTGTTTCCAGAGCCTGGAAGACAGTAGGTGGCCAATCACTGGTTGAGTGAATGAAAGAGGAAGGAGGTGATCTGTGGACAGCAAATAGAGAGATAAATGGAAACAGAGAAACAATGAAAGTTGAAGCCTAAAGCCAGCACCTTCTCTTCCTCCTTAAATCATGCTTCCAAGCAGTGGTTCTCAACTAGGGTGATTCTGCCCCCCAGGGGGCATTTGGCAATATCTGGAGACATTTTTGGTTTTCACTACTAGGTGGAAGGGAGGAGAGAGAGGTGCTACTGGCAACTAGTAAGCAGAGGCCACGGATGCTGCTAAATAATGTACAATGCACAGGACAGCCCCACCGCCAGGAGTCATCCAGCCACAATGTCACAGTGCTGAGAAAGAGAAACCTGGCTTTAGGGACACCTCTTCCTGGAAGCCCTCCTGGATTTGACACACCTGCTGCCTCACACATCCCTTTCCCTTCTCCCCTGGCATCACCAGGTTGGGTGAGTCCAGGGCTGTTCCAAGAGGGGGTTCGGATCAGGCTGGTGAGGCTCCTGCATCACGTTTGCAGTTGGTGCCGGCCCTGTCCCCGGTGCTGAGGTTCTGAATTCAGTGCTGGAGATGCGGCTCCGCACAGCACCGAGCAGGTTAGGGTTGGAGACCCGAGCATCCAGCATCGGATGTGGGGCGAGTTGGGGCTGTGCAGGGTCAGGGCTGGGGCTGGGGTGGCGTCTGGTTTGGGCACCACATATAATCCTTGCCAGACCCCTGCCTCAGACTGGCGGTGAGCGAGGAGCAGCCCCATGCGCGAGGATCCCAACCCTGAAAGAAGAACCGATAACCTCAGATCACCGTCCACATCCGCACAGTTTCCTGTTTTTCCCCTAAAGCGGGTGAGAGACACGGGCTGATACTGCAGAGGGGAAGGAGGGGGCGATCGCGTGACGGGGACCCCGTTGAGATTTCACACCAAAGCATCGCTTCTCTAAACTGATTGTTGGCAGGGACCGCACGGACCGAGCCATGGAGCCTGGGCGCACACCGTGGGTCCGGGTGCGGCTGTCGCCAGAGCCCCGGGGGCAGAGCAGGTCTGGAAACACCAAACTCCAATCCAGCCCCGCCCTCTAGCCTCCGGCCGGCCTGTGTCCTCAATGCGCCCGACAGAACTTGTCCCAAAACTTTCTGTGTCCGCATCGCTAGGACAGCCCCACTGTCCACCCAGACACTGGGCTGAAACCGGTCTTTTTTCACAGCATCTTCTGAGTACCCGTTACCAAGGCCTGTCTCTTTCAACCCAACCTGCTTCTCTCCATCCCACAGCCGCTGCTCCAGGCTACCTCCTCCGGCCCCTGGACCCAGTGACAGCCCCCATCCCTGCCAGGCCTCCAAAAACAGTCCTCTCAACGTCTCCCCT